ATGGGTACCCGTACCCGTACCCGGCCGGGTACGGGTTCCCGTTCCCTACCCGTACCCTACCCGAAATGAGTGACAAACGGTTACTCACCAGTGACTCACGGCCTACCCGTACCCGTACCCGGCCGCACCAGGGTCGCAAACGGCTACCCGTACCCATACCCGGCCGGGTACGGGTAGCCGGGTATCGGGTAGGGTACTGGTATCGGGTACCCGATTGCGACCTCTGGCGCACGTGCCCGAGGGTGCCGTGGCGCCAGCATCGCCATCGGCCGCCTTTGTCTCCCCGGTGCCCTGATGCTCACGCAGGATGCCAACGTGCAACATTTTCAAGTGGAACCTCGGGGAGGCCCAGAAGCCGTTCGGGGTAGTCGCCGCCGACGTCAACCACGACCGGGAGTTGAACTCGTGGCCTCGCCGCGTTCGTAGCGCAGCACGGCGAGATCGTCGCCTGTCCCGGCGCTACGCGCGTCCGCACGCAACAAATACGCAACGTCTTCTTGGTTTTGTCGGTAAAGTCACGTAGAAGGGAAGTAATAAAATAATAAAAATAAAACATAATAAAATAATTCTCACGACGTTTCGGCTACAACGCAAGCAGCCGTCTTCAGGTGAAGAATGAAACACTGCCAAGCTAGGAGCTTATATATAAGCTGAGTTGGAGGTGGAAGAAGAAGAGAGCCTTAACCAAAAATGTGCATATCAAGAGGAATTTAGCATATTCATGGGGAATGCGTAGGAGGTGAATATGCTAAATTCCTCTTGATATGCACATTCTTTTTTGTTAAGGCGCTCCTCTTACACCTCCAACCCAGCTTATATATAAGCTCCTAGCTTGGCAGTGTCTCATTCTTCACCTGAGGACGGCTGCTTGCGTTGTAGCCGAAACGTCGTGAGAATTATTTTATTATGTTTTATTTTTATTATTTTATTACTTCCCTTATACGTGACTTTACCGAAAAAAACCAAGAAGATGAATCCCTGCAGTCACGAAAGCTTTAAATCGAAAAATACGCAACGGTAAAGCGCGGCGGCTTCGACTCCTCCGCTTGCCCCGACTGCGTCGTTGCCGCCTTCAAGGGCACCGGCGACGTTTCGCTTGCCGGCTCTTCCCACACCTCTGGCCCCTGACGTGGATGTGAAGCTTATTCGGTGAAACACATAGAGAGGGGCGCGCAAAGTGAATTAAGACGTGAAGTAACACGACCCTTTTCGGAGAATGTTACGCGGCAAACATGAGCCTTGGCATTTACAGAATAGAGATGACACGTTGAGCGCCGACACTCGGATTTCATGTTTTCCGGAGATTATTTCGAAGATGCGTTTTAATCAACGGGGCTGAGTCTTGAATTGAAAATATTTTTTTTGGGGGGAGAGGAGGGTAAGTGTGCCCCCCGGGGATTCCTGTGCAGACCCCCTCCCACTGCCCCCCACTGCCTTCCACTGCCCCCTAATGCCCCCAGGTACATTGATGCCTCTGATCTTGGGCAGCATACAGAGAGAGAGAAAGAGCGAGAGAGAGGAGGTGTTGAGTTTATTCTGTTGTAACCAGGGCGAGAGCTCAAGAGACCAGGATAAGTCTCATTTGCAAGAGTGACCCGCATCACCGAATTGGAAAAGGCAGCAACAAAAATCAATGAAGCAAAATACGGCAAAGAAAATACCGCAAAAGCAAAAACAACCGCGCTTCGTAGAAAACAAATTTATATTGACGATACGCATCAGTATTACGTGGACAAATATATATATATATATATCCTGTAACATAAGTTGTGTCGGGCAAATTAATTGTAAAGCATTTAAGAATATACATTTAAAAAATAAAACAGGGAGACACTTAGAGAGATAGAGAGAAAGACAGTCAGACACGGAGTGAGACACACGAGACACTGAGAGAGACAGAAAGAGACAGAGAGAGAGAGAGAGAGACACGCAGAGAACGACAGTGAAGGAGTGAGGCCAGAAAAGACGTGGAGAGAGACAAAGACAAATCCCTGCCTTTCTCTCCACCTGCCACAACCCCAGCTGACGACACCCCCCCCCTTCCCCCGTGCCGAGCTGAAGCACAGAGCTGGCCTACAAAGTGGCCCCCGAAATCCTGTTCATTACAACAGGCTGAGTGACATCTAAAATATGTGCCTTCGTGTTGAGATGCGGGCCCATTCGTATCACCGCCGACACATGCAGCACTTCGTGTTAATCTATACTGCTGGATGAAGGCCTACTCGCGCCGCGCGGGTGACAAGCGGTTGTTTGCCCATACCCCTTCCACGCCGGTGAGTGCGGGTTGGTGACAGAGGGCAGCATGGACATGCAGTGCAACAATGGCTTTTGCTGCTGCTGCTGCTGCTGCTGCCCACATAGCCTAATATAACCTCTTCTTGGTTCTTTCGGTAAAGTCACGTAGAAGGAAAGTAATAAAATAATAACAAAAAAACATAATAAAATAATTCTCACGACGTTTCGGCCACAACGTAAGCAGTCGTCCTCAGGTGAAGAACAGCGTCTGTCGGGAAGACAGCGTCTGAATGAAACACCACCAGGCTTGGAGCGTATTTTTAAGCTGGGTTGGAGGGGGGAAGAGCGCCTTGACAAAAAAAATTGCATCTCAAGAGAAATTTTGCATATTTATGGGAAATGCAAAAGTCGTGAGAATTATTTTATTATGTTTTATTTTAATTATGTTATTATTTTCCTTCTCCGTGACTTTACCGAAAGAATCAAGAAGATGAATCCCTGCAGTCACGAAAGCTTTAAATCGAAAACTAATAGAACCTGTGTTGTTTTTTCCCTTTGCCCGATGCTCAGCCAGGATGAACGCCGCTTAGCCTCCGAGATCTGACGATATCGAGGGCGCTCCAGCTAGTTTGCTCCACGGCGGTGATGCTGGATCATTCCAAATTGCATTGCGCTGTTTTAACGTAACCGCCATCGCTCATGCTACCAAGGTGCAAGTGATGGCAATGCAGGGTACGAGAGCAGCAACATCAACGATTTCAATTGACATTGGCATCGAAGAGCAACTGCATCTCAAAAACACTTTACTTTAAGAAGGTGAAATGAAGATGGCTGGCGGGGGTGGTGGGGGAGGGTGCAGACACACGTGGTAGAGAGGGGGAAAGAGCAACTCCATCCTTCAGTTATCCACCAACACCCCGCCACCCAGCATCGCGGATAATCACTCGGCTGATCAGTGAAATACATGATGTATTAAACAAAAACAAATATCCCCCATATAGCCTTCACAGACTATCGGGGCAAGTGCTGTTAGCGAGCACCTATGACACACGAGGGGGTGGGTAGCCAGCACCACGCCGGGCCGCCTTTGTCTCCCCAGTGGCGATGTTTACACACCGCACCAGGTACATATTTGAGGATGAGTCGACCGAACGAAGGCCCGTGACCGGCTCATACAATCGTCACTGGTGTCAACACAAAGACAAAGATCCCCCGTATAGCCTTAACAGACTGTAGGGGCAAGTGCTGTTAGCGAGCACCTATGAAGGCCGGCACGACACACGAGGGGGTGAGTGGCCAACACCACGCCCGGTCGCCTTTGTCTCCCTAGTAGCGATGTTTACACATCGCACCAGGTACTCATTTGAGGCTGAGTCGACCTAGGGGAGGCCCAGGACTATTGTGGCAATTGCTGTTAGCGAGCACCTATGACACACGAGGGGGTGGGTGTCAACACACACACACACAAGCACTCGCACGGTGTGTGTCAACGTTTAGTCCGCCAATAACCGTGCCTGTGATGTCCAATGGCGCGACTTGTGAGCGGGCTCTTGCAGCATGAAACATCGTCACCAAGGTTCACCGCATCGGATGATGAAAGAGGGCCCAGAGACCCGGGCAGTTCGAGTCGAACGTGGCCCACACGCCTCGCGTGCGCAGGCCACGTGGTTTGTTGCGTCGCGGGCAGCACTCGCGAGGGCTTTTGGGAGGCATTCATGGGGCGCTGGATTGATCGCGAGTTGACGACGACGACGAGACGTCCCTGGCGGTGTCGGTTGTCTCAAGCGAGTCGGAGACGGCATTGAAGACGAGCAAATACGCGATACAGTTCAACCCTTACCAGTTGGCTGTGTCGGGTGGTGGCGGGTTTAAACGACACATTATACCTTTAAGCGAATCTAACCCCCAAAAAACCTCTGTTATGGATTATATTGGTCGGAACGCATACAGGGTCTAATGCGACTGTAATCTCAGGACGCCGTACGGAGAGACAGAGAGAGAGGCAATCAGAGGCACAAGAGGACGGTTTTGAGACTGAACTAAAATGGGGGGGGGGGGGTAGATAGTCTATAGCAGGGACGGTTGGTGGAAGGAAAGGAGTTCCAGACAATGGGCACAGCAGAAGAGAATGGGCGACCTCTAACTGACCCAAATATCGCTGTGCCATCAGCGGCGCCGATTTTAATTTTTTTGGCGATTAAAAGTATCATTTTTGTTAACAATTATTATTGTTTGCATACAGCGTCTTGAGTAGCAGTGGCCCAATCCTGGATTGCTGTTGTGTGTGTATGCGTGTATCGTGATTGTACTCGGGGCTTCTTAATTCCAGGCGCTTCTGTCTGGGTCAGCACCCGGCACCCCACGACCAATCACGCCTCTCGCTCTGCCCGTGGACACGCAGTCACGTGTCTGGTTGATATCCCACGAGGAGTTATAAGCCCCCTTAGGGAAAATGATGTTGGCAAGCCTCACGCCTCGCTAGGAGTTGTGCAGTTTTTTTTAAAAACACACACACATGACCGCGAGTTCTGGCTTTTCTTGAGTCGCCGTGAATATGAATAAGTGAAATAGCAGCGGTAAATAAAAATCAATAAATGACGACAGTGGAAATTTATTGAATAACCCAGGCTATTGGAAAACCCATCAGTAAACAACAGTTGAAATGCCAAAAAAACTGTTGTGATAGAGCACACACACACAGAGAGAAAACTACCAAGAACGCTGCTAAACAAAACAGAGGCAGGGTTTAGAGAGTAAATCCACACTCGAGAAGTACTGTACAGTGGACTATTGGTAAACAATGCAAGTAAACAAAACAAACACAATAGAAGACTGCGCGGTGTACTCAGGAGAAAACCGAGGCTGTAGAAGTCGTGTCAGCGTGAACAAAAACTTCAATCGGACTCAGCCAGCGGTCGCGTACAAGTGCACAGGCGGTGCAACTGCGCCGGGACCCACGGGGGCAGGAGGAGGCACTGGCGTCGGGCTACGAAGAGGACCAACAGTGGATACGGGGGAAATGGGGGGTGGAATGGGGGGAGGGGGGGTCAAGGGGGGGGGGTTAAGGGGGTGGGGGGATTTCAGTCATGCACCACCGGTCAAAGTTACAGCGATCGAGCCGAAGTAACCAAAAGCATAAACATCTTCTTGGTTCTTTCGGTAAAGTCATGTAGAAGGGAAGTAATAAAATAATAAAAATAAAACATAATAAAATAATTCTCACGACGTTTCGGCCATTTTTATTATTTTATTACTTCCCTTCTACGTGACTTTACCGAAAGAACAAAGAAGATGAATCCCTGCAGTCACGAAAGCTTTAAATCGAAATTTAAAAGCATAAACAGTTGAACTCGTCGGCGGTCGCGACCAACATTTCCCGTACTCGAAATGTAAATGTCGCGGGTTTACTCTCCCGACACCACCGGCGGGGCTGAGGTAGTGACCCAATTGGCACGTGTTGTGTTCACGTGACAAGCCTCACCACATTGGCTTGCGTCGGGTGGTGGCGGGGTTTCACGACACATTCATATTTGCGCGATCTAACCCACGACAAGAAAAAAAAACAACGTTAATACGGAGAAGCAAAGTCAACTGGACGGACCGAAGCGTGCCCAACAAAAGGTCAAAGGTCATCGTGATCGTACCGCCAGATTCCGACTGCCCGTGCCCGCTGTGACATTGCGGATGCCGCGCTGATGGTGGAGCGGAGTCTGCAGCCGACGTGAGGTTTCCAGAGCATCGCCACTGCCGCCGCTAACGAATCGACCTTCCGAGGGAATACAGCAATCATACGAGTATCGCTACAGCGATGTTGTCTACGTGGCTCGAAGGGTGAAGGCGCTTTAGAATGAATCATTGCAATGTGGACCGCGGTGAGAGTTGGTACTCACTCTGCTTAAACTCAACCACTTGTGCGGCGGTACACGACGCGTTACTGCCAAGGCAGAATCATAATATTTATTTAAACTGGAGGAATCCGATGCGCTACAAAGCTCTTTTTAAATCCTTTATATTAAGTTCGCTTGCTTGCTTGCGTGCTTGCGTGCTTTTTTTAACCCACTTCCCGTGATCCAATCGAGCTGACATTTTGCACACAGACTCGTTGTGCGAGACAATTAATGTTCGTGAAAAAAAAATCCAAAATTTTACACTGTTTAGGGAAAACAAATTAAATATTTAATTACCAATTCTTTAATACTGCAGACAATCATCTGACCCATAGGTGGCAGCTATCGCAAGCCAGAGGACGAGAGGACTCTAGCCGCCACGCATATAAAGGATTTATAGTGAAAAACTTTGTTTTTACGGGTTATACTTATTATTGTCGCAGATTTCCGGCAGGGGCGCGTCAGAACGCCACAAACAACAAACAACGCGAAGACAAAAACAAAAACAATGACGTGAGTGTGAAGTATAGGAGAAGGTAGATACAATTACTTTAAAAAAAACAGTTGAGAGTGCATCATCGCAGGGACAACACAACATCTCGGCTCAAAGGGGGTTTAACGGCAAGGGGCCGTCCATAAATGACGTCACGCGATTTTGGACGATTTTTGACCCCCCCCCCCCTCGTCACACGGCGTCACAAAAAGTCAGACCCCCCCCCCTCAAATATGACGTCACCAAGCTCTGCCCCCCCCCCCCCAAAAAAAATTAAACATGCTTCAAATCGCTTTAAACTATTGTCATTGTAGTGCGTATTTAATGTGCCGCTGCAGCTCTGACGTTGTAGGAAAAAACACTTATTAAAATTTACATTTAATTAAGTAGAACGTGTTGTCTATATTTATTTTAAGTTGCGCATTTTGATGTGACGTCACATTTCTCAACCTCCCCCCCCCCCTCGTCACACATCGTCACAAATGTCTGACCACCCCCCCCCCCCTAGGTGCGTGACGTCATTTATGGACGACCCCCAACTTGCCGCATCGCGAGACATTTCTCTCCGCCGAGAACGACTTCGGCGCAGCTCAGACGCAGGCTCGAGACCGTGGCGGGCGCGCGATGTTTTCCGAGGCTACCGGAACCGCTAACGGCACCTTCGGAAAATGCTGGGTCGAGAAGCGAAACGTTGGACCAACCGCCAGTTGGTCGGGTTTTCATTTTGTTCATCGAAAGAAGTTTCACGTGCGTACACTTTACCATACACTATACGCTACACTTGACTACACCAGACTATACACCACCATACATTACCCTACACTATGCACGATTATCACTATACACTACACATTACACGAACCTAAGCACTACACCACCGATTAGCATGGTTGGCTACGTACGGTTCGAAAGAATCTTCTTGGTTCTTTCGGTAAAGTCATGTAGAAGGAAAATAATAAAATAAAAATAAAACATTATAAAATAAAATATATTATTTTATTATAATATATTATTTTATTCTTCTATTATTTTATTATGTTTTATTTTTTTTTCCTTCTACGTGACTTTACCGAAAGAACCAAGAAGATGAATCCCTGCAGTCACGAAAGCTTTAAATCGAGGTTCGAAAGAAGTTCAACATACATGCGACGCACGGCCACAACCCCAAAGCACGTGGGAGCCATGCAGGACAACCGCAGGCGATATTATCCATTCCACTCGTTGACCTCCCAGTGACCTTTCCTACAGTTTCAGGGTCGCCGTTAGAATTTTTTGACAAGTTGCGTTTTCTTGCCACAGATTGTTCAAGAGGGTAGCACAAATCCAGGCCCTTGCCTCGGGCAATGGGCGACCTCTGGGTTAGCTGCAGGAGTCACTTCAAAGATTTTTTCACTGCGATTTTTATTAAACTAAAAAAAAACTAAACTTTTTTTTTCTTTACCAGGTAAGGCGATCTGTTTTAGAAGCGACCTGCCCATCACAAATGATAGCTCAACGAAGTGGCTTATCACGTGGAAATATAGAGCAGCCAAAATACAGGGAGCTTAAAAAATGTTTTAACACTACTGAGAATCTGCAGCAATACCGCAAGAAATATGCCTCTGGGCTTTGGAGACCACCTGGAGAAGATTCCAGGCATGTGTTGACAATGATGGCGAACAAGTGGAGATTCTTTGACTGTTTGAAGCTATTAACATACATTTGTTGTCATGTTACAGTGTATTATCCATTCTTTTTCCATTAAAAACGATAGTCCCCTATAAGTCTTTTTAAAAAAATGTCAAGCACCCTGTACTTGATACGCATGTTGTTGATTCAAAATGTGGAGGGAAACCCGCAGGACCTGGAGAAAAAAATCAACGCGACCGCAGGGCGAGAGAGAGAGACACGCAAACTACAAAAATACACGCATTGTCAGCGTCGGCATCGAACCCACGACCTCCTGTATACCTGGCGAAGTAGTTAACATCTTCAGCAACGACGCCCGCTCGCTGCGATTTCTGCTCCTCTCTTCCGGCGTACGGCCACGTTTGAGAGGCTCCAATGATAAATCCAAACCGAGGTTGTTTAGCCACGAGATTGCTTGCGCGCAGGCCGAGCTAAGACATGCTGCTGCGCCCGTTACCTGCCCGGGGTGTCGCGCACACAGTCCGGTGGCGAGAATTGATTTGAGATTTGAAGCTTTCGTGACTGCAAGGATTCATATTCTTAGGTTTTTTTGGTAAAGTCACGTAGGTAAAAAATAATAAAAGTAAAAAAAAAAATCACGACGTGATTTTTATTTTATTTTATTTTTATTTTACTTTTATTAATTTTATTAATTTTAATAACGCAGCACCGGCCTGCAAGTGAGAATTAAGTCTGCTAGTAGGGGTGGCGGGGGTAGTGGTGTTGCTGCTGTTTGTTATTCTAATGGAATTATCTGAGAGTGATTTTTCACATTTTCAGTTTCAGTTCAGTTTATTTTGAAGTACCCTGTGAGCCAAGAGGCTCTTAAATCGAGTTTCATCAACAAAAACAACAACCGCCTCTTATCCGACAAAACCGCAACAAGTCACGGTAAAATAAATCAATAATAACCGAGAACATGTAAGAGAATAAAAAAAATATCTAGCAAATCGTAATCGCAAAAATAATAATACATATTTTTTTTACAATTTTATTGGAAGATGTGTGCTTCGCTCGTCGTCGTGGTACGGCTGTTCCTACGTCAGTTTCTGCCACATTGGCCACCAAGATTGCCCCCCCCCCCTCCGTTCCTTCTCGGTGATGTCCCCCCGCCACGTCTTGCGGGAACAGATGATCGGCGCCGAGAGCTTTCGCAGTAGGACGAGGAATCGAGCGTTCGTTTTAATTTTCGATTTAAAGCTTTCGTGACTGCAGGGATTCATCTTCTTGGTTCTTTCGGTAAAGTCACGTAGAAGGGAAGTATTATTATTGTATTACTTCCCTTCTACGTGACTTTACCGAAAGAACTAAGAAGATTCATTTTAATTGTTTGTTAACTCGGGAGCAGTGGCAGGTATTTCTGCCAGCGAGTTGTTACGCACAATATCTCGCTACAGAAAACGATAGGTGGTGGTGGTGGTGGGGAGGGTGGGAGGAGGTAGCATGCTTACTCGCGCTGTAAAATGCCCAAACTGAAGCATCAGCGATGGCTTGAGACACGTGGGTAAACACAAATTATACGTAACAATATAATTACCAGCGATCGGTTATATATTTTTTTCCCCCAATATGACGCTCAACATGATGTATGCCCATCTGTAGCCAATGAGTTGGTATTTGTTAATTATCAATGGGAGCCTTGTTCTCAAGCAGCTAATAACAGTGGCGTGTGATTCTATGACTTGAATGAAAACATGCCGCTAAAAGTCGGTACACGCGCAGCTTGTTACGCGGTCACATCGTCAAGACAACCTTGCCGAACCAGCCGCGGCAAGTTTCTTAAATCCTCACGACTTCTCAAAGCCGTGGGGCATCCCACCAATATTTAGTCATTCTTCTTTGGTTCTTTCGGTTAAGTCACGTCTAAAGATAAAATAATAAATTAAAATAATAGCATATTACGACGTTTCGATTGCAACACAAGCAATCATCATCAGGCATGAAAGAAATAGCAACAAAAATCTAACTAACTAGAACCAAAGAATAATTCCTGCAGTCACGAAAGCTCCAAAATTAAGAATATTGAGTCAAACAGATCGGTTGCATGTGGTGGGGTAAAAGTGCGAGTACGGTTCACCTCTTCCATCCGGACATGTGGTGTGTGCATGTATGTATTTAGAACTTCTTTCGCACCGTACAGAGGCAACCGTGTTTATCGGAGGTGCCCGGGGAAGGACAACAAACTAAATACTAAAAGCAGTTCCAAAGAAATTCTTGGCTCGACGGTGCAGGCAACTCCCTGTAGTGGAGTCGCCTTCCGCCCACGGTGGCGTGAGCAGGGAATTGCAGGGCTGCGCCTTTATCGATGTACCACGTTACGGGTCGACGACAGTAGGAATTATTTATATATATATATTTTTAAAGGCATTGAGATCCAGCCATCTCGCGCTGACGGCACTGAGAGGCTATGGCACACGGGAGAGCACTTACATACCAAACCCGCGGTTAATGGAGCAGCAAATTAATAGAACACATTTGCAGATAACTGCACCCACTGCCAGTCAAACACAGAGGCCACGGAGACTCGGAAGCACGCTCACGTATGCGCCGTCGCACACACACACACACACAAGACAAAGATCCCCCGTATATCCTTTACATACTTTTGGGACAAGTGCTGCTAGCGAACACCTATGAAGCCCGGAACAGCACAGGAGGGGGTGGGTGGACAACACCACGCCCAGCCGCCTTTGTCTCCCCAGTGGCGATGTTTACACA